GCACACATTATCCACCATCCAGTATAGAATGCACACATTATCCACCATCCAGTATAGAATGCACACAATATCCAACACTATCTAGTATAGAATGCACATATTATCCACCACTATCAAGTATATAATGCACACATTATCCACTATCTAGTATAGAATGCACACATTATCCATTATCTAGTATAGAATGCACATATTATCCACCACTATCAAGTATATAATGCACACATTATCCACTATCTAGTATAGAATGCACACATTATCCACTATCTAGTATAGAATGCACACATTATCCACCATCAAGTATAGAATGCACACATTATCCACCATCTAGTATAGAATGCACACTTTATCCACTATTTAATATAGAATGCACACATTATCCACCATCCAGTATAGAATGCACACATTATCCACCATCCAGTATAGAATGCACACAATATCCAACACTATCTAGTATAGAATGCACATATTATCCACCACTATCAAGTATAGAATGCACACATTATCCACTATCTAGTATAGAATGCACAAATTTCCACTATCCAGTACAGAATTCACAAATTATCCACTATCTAGTATAGAATGCACACATTATCCACGATCTAATATAGAATTCACACATTACACCATCCAACATAGAATTCACAAATTATCCACTATCTAGTATAAGTGCGCACATTATTCATTATATATTCTAGCATAGAATGCACAAATATCTACTATATAGTATAGAATGCACACATCATTCAACATCCAATATAGAATGCACACATTATTCTCCAACCGGTATAGAATGCACACATTATCCACGATCTAATATAGAATTCACACATTACACCATCCAACATAGAAAGCACACATTATCAATTATCTAGTATAGAATGCACACATTATCCATTATCTAATATAGAATTCACACATTATCCACTATATAGTATAGAATGCACACATTATCCACCATCCAGTATAGAATGCACATACTATCCATTATCTAATATAGAATTCACACTTTATCCACTATCTAATATAGAATTCACACATTATCCACCATCCAGTATAGAATGCACACATTATCCATTATCTAGTATAGAATGCACACATTATCCATTATCTAATATGAATTCACACATTACACCATCCAACATAGAAAGCACACATTATCAATTATCTAGTATAGAATGCACACATTATCCATTATCTAATATAGAATTCACACATTATCCACTATATAGTATAGAATGCACACATTATCCACCATCCAGTATAGAATGCACATACTATCCATTATCTAATATAGAATTCACA